TCTTCTCTCCCGTTCCAAGCCTTGGGATAAATAAAATAAGCTCTTTAGCCTTGGTTGGTCTTTTTTGGAATTCCAAAACAGTGGCTCAGACATTAATAAACCATTCCATCGTTCCTACGAATGCACATCAAACATAGCAATTACAAATCGATCATACACCGCTGCTAATGGAGAGAAGCTGGGGAGCCTGTTTTAATAAACAAAGGAAACAAATGTGGCCCGACAGAAAGATGCTTGCAATGAAAACATGTGAGTAAAGAAAAATCTGTCTATATATCTCAGATGAGGAATTTTGATTACCACTATTATTTACATTATTCGTCCATTTTCACAACGAATAATGGAATTTCAATTCTAATCACTTGGCCGGAGTGCAAAGGCAAAATGTTGTTTCCCATGGCAAAGAAGGTGGGGATAACAGTCCGAATAATGTAAATAATACAAGTAAAGAGAAAGATACATTTGAAATTCCTGGTACATATAATGAAGAAAATGTGCTTGGAGAAGTTGACACTCACAAGACATGATAAAAGCAAGAGGAAAACAGTGAGTAACCTACCTAATGAGCGCTGTTGTGAACGGAAGTCAGACGAGAGTGGTAACTATAAAGGATAGAAAGTTTTGGAGAGCATTGATCGCCAACGTCCTGAGGGAGGACGTCACGTAAAAGAATAACAATGATCCCAAATACGAAATGACTTTCCCAGAGATAGAAAAATATTAACAATAAGTGATGTTCTTTTAATTCTTTGTGATTAATTTTTACGGTTTATCAACCCCTGAGTTGCGAGATACCGGAAGCGCCGTGTAATATGTTTGATCAATCTGTTGAAAGTGATTGAAATATCCGATAGCCCAGAAAAAGTGACAACAAAAATATCGTGTTTGATCTTTTAAAAAAAAACCGTCGGCGACATATATATATATATATATATATATATATATATATATATATATATATTCTACTGCAGATCAGTTCCTAGGAAACCGACAGCCCGATACCAGCACGAGATTTGATTATAGTGGTGAAGGGTTTGTGCAAATATAAAAAAACCTAACGCATCATCGAAAGCACAGTTATAAATTATGATTTATTTCAACGGGGAAGTTTTTAACACCAATCTCATCAGGCCGAAATTACAAATGGTTTAAATTTATCCGGAATATTTTAAAAAAAAAAAAAAAAGAGATAACAGGAAGTCTAGACGCTTGACATAGAAAATGTATTTTCTGTGGATATATAAAACTGAAGACATATGGGGGGAAGGTTTCAAATAATTTCACATATATGGTTACGAGAAATATATAACTTTCAACATGACACACACTCACACACATATAATATGCATATATAGAACATATATAACATATATATATTATATATAATATATATATATATTACATATATAATATATATATATATATATATATATATATATATTTATATATATATATATATATATATATATATATATAATATATTTTATATATATTATATATTATATATTATATATATATTATATATATTGTTTTATATTATTTATATTATATATGTATTTTTATATATATATATATATATAAATATATATATATATATTAAATATATATATATATATTATATATATATATACATCTGAAAATGAGGTCAAGCGTCTACAGATCCTGTTATCTTGTTTTATTTTTTTTTGTTGTTTTTTTTTGATATTTCTGTTAAAATTTAAACGATTTGTAAGTTAATTTATAACCGTGTTTCTAAATTTTTAAATAAATGTTTTTGATGCATATCATATGGCTCTGTAAACTATACAGTGAGCTCTCTTTATGGATCCATCTTTTTAATATTTCATATTAAAAAGACCTCCTTAGGGATTTGATATCATTATCTCTCTCTCTCTCTCTCTATATATATAATACTAATAGTAATACTCGGTTGGTAAAAAACCTCGGATAGCACAACTTGCAAGTATATCTAGGTAAGTTGTTCCTGGTTCTTTAGGATTTATTTTATATATATAGTCAAATTGTTTTGTCTGCACTGGTTTCGAACGAAATTAACATGCACAAATTATAATTAAAGAGAATTTTAAACAATATAGTTATAGAGGAACATTTTTTTCAACAATACAATTTTCATGTTTCTTGTAATTCCTATTGCCAAAGGCTCGTCTGCAAAGAACAAATTCTGACGAGTTACGAATGCGACCAAACAGAGTTAATCGACAAATCACTCGGTGCTCTGACAAGTTTGTTTAACGTTGTAACTCTTGAGTTGGTTTTTCTGGCAATAAAAAAATGTTTAAAATTGAAAGTAATCGTCGTATGTTTTACCCCCCCCCCCACACACACACACCACTCCCAGTTTCAACTTTCTCTGTTCAGTTAAACTATAATTGTAAACTGTAAATTTTGAAAGTGAAAATAGACAAGGTTTTTCATTTCACTTAATCAGACGTTAAATGCATCGCTTCTTCTATTTTCACTTTCCTTAGGGTTGATAAGCCGTAGACAACGAACTAATCAATCAAAACCTCTTTCTTATGTATGCTTTCTTTTCCCCCACTAAAACTAACTATATATATATATATATATATATATAGTTGTAACCTAGGGAAGGTTACTTAATAGAATAATCACACGAAGGGTGGTAATGAACGATAATACTTAGGACACGAACAACATATATAAGATTTTCCAGCGGCGTGTAGAAGTAGTCAGCTGCTAGAAGTGTGTCAAGTGAATTCCATAATGAATCTTCAACTGCAGACCAACATACAGTATTTAGTACTGTATTTATGTGAATGGAAACATAGTCATTGCCGTCCGTAGCAATGCTACAACATATATTATTGTTGCTGTTTTTATTATTATAAAAAAACATGTTGAAATCGCCAAAGAAAATCTTTCATGTTTCAATACTTTGATTGTACTTCTTCAGCTATGTACCAGTTACTTACCATCGCCTTGAGAATTACAGTTGAACTATTGAAACATGAAAGTTTGTGCAGTAATTTCAACATGTTTTTATTATATCTTATAATAAAAATAATAATAATATATTGCTCTACTTTTATTGATTACTTTTTTAAAAGTAAATGCTACGAACAGTTGAATTTTACTCAATCTATTTTTTCTTTCATTTGGATATATATATATATATATATATATATATATATAGTCTTTCCTCAAAATCAAAACGGAATGGTTCATTATTTATCTAAGGAGTAATCAGAATAACAAATGTTGATATACTGTACGCATATAGTAGTTTTCGATGATAAAACCCCTACACACAAGCCTTTAGTGGCCCGTTGGGGGAGCCGCCGATAGCAACGCCAGCAGCCCTATGGTGGCAGCTACTCGCAGGCCATTGGTAGGCCTGTATCGGTTGGCCAGTAGCAATTTTGCCAAGACGAACACGCCAGCAGACCACCAGCGGTAAACGCTAATGACATGCCCCCCCACCCCCAATGGCATATTGGTCACTTGCGTGTAGGGACTGTACGGACACACTAGTTTCAGATGATAATACTGTACGGATATCCCGGATTCGGCATGCATGGGTTAAAATAAAACGCTAACTTTAGACAAGCCCTCATCAATGTTAAGAAATGAACTCCTTGCCAAGTGAAACCATTGTTCGTGACAGCGAAACAGGTTAATGAAATACCGCTTGAAATGACATCTGAAATATATTTTCAACGACTGAATTGGATGTGCGTGTTGTGTAATGTATAGCGGCTGGGGATGTAAAATCGAATGAGTTCGAATTCTAGTTGAATTCGTTCCATTCACTTACACACCAATATCCTTGGGGGAGGTACGAATATATCATTTTCCCCAGGATATGGGTTAAATAGTATTACTTTTATATAGGAAAAAAGTATCTCCTAAAAACTGTTAATGCAATATTCAATCGCAAAAAAAAACGAATTATCCAATGTGTTTCGGTTTTAACTCACAAAGGGTTGATAAGCCGTAAAAAATCAATAGTTACGACAAGGCCATGAATATGAGGACATGCAATGAGGTTCAAGTTCACTGCTCAGAAGTAATTGTTAATCAGACTGCATCACTAATAATTCTTTAGTCCATGCCGAGGTGCCCCAAAATAATCCCCAGATGCACTTTTGTCAGAATTCATAAAGTTCTCGTAGAGATATTATTTTCCTTCTCCCTGTCACTAATAAGTTTCCTGAACTTTGACCCTTTATAAACAAAGCCTACCAGACTTTGACGCGAACTCCACAGAAATTGCAACCAAAATCGACCAGACGTGTGTTGGCAAACGCGGTTCTGTTTAATTGATCGAACGCAGAGATGAAAAACCAGCTTCTCCAGCCTGGCCGACTCTCCTGTCCGAGCCAAATGAAGATAGCAATTAGCGATCAAAACTCATTTTGCGGATAGACGTAGTCACTTTCCATTTGTTTTCTATAAAACCCAACGCCACATGATGTAAATAATAGGAAAAGCCTAATGAGGTTAGCAAACTTTGGTTGTCTCATTGGGGATAAAGGGTCGTAGAAATTAGAAAAGTTTGTTTTTTTTTCCTCAAGAGATCTCGGAATGAAGACCAGCTCTGTATGTTTTAATCCCAAAGTTAATTATTCAAGGCGCTGAACCAGAATCAGGAAACGATTTTCAATCTAATATTTTAAAAATATAAGACGTTAAGGCTTAAGTAAAAGAAAACATTTGGATAGATACTGCCTTTTGGATAAAAGCAATGGTAAAATCTCTAGTTGTTTGGTTTTGTTTAGCGGCATGTCAGCCTCTGAGTTATTTAATGCAGAAAGAAATAATTTGTTTGCAAATTTTATTTTATTTTTTTTTTTTTTAGATAATAATAGTTTTTAGTGATAGTAATCAACCCATAGAAGAAGTGAATTCATACTTAGCCCAAGGGTATTTGTGCGTAAGGGAATATAAAGAACTCAACTGGAATTGGAACTCTGCTATCTGATTAACAATTCAGAGTCATTATCACACCACACATCCAAGCTTGCAGCACCTGGTATTCCCAAGCAGTCACTAATCTATGTACTAACCAGGCTCTATGTTGCTTAACTTCAACGATCGTACGGGAACCAATGTTTCAACGTGATATTGTCGTAAGCCTAAAATTTCTGGCAGATGCGAGTTAAATCCTTCGATTTTTTAATATACGCCAGCTTATTCTAAATCCAAGGCTTTCTAACTGTTCTTGGAGGAACTCGTCCCTGGTTGACCTCCACCTCTTCCTATCTCTGATCATATTAGGCAATGTGGGGGTTGTCTTATAGGGTCAGATCGTTACGCCATCTTGCTTTTGATCGCTTTTTAGTCTTTCCCACTGCCTTGGAGTTTTAGTGTAATAAAAAGAATAGGTTACATGTTCTGAAATTTTCTAAGGTCACCAGCACCCTGCAGAATTAATGAAGGACACCTTTTGACATTGCGAAGTGTTACTGAATATGATAGTCTCTTGGAGGCTGAAGAGTGACGCTAGAATGTGTTCAATAAAAAAGATTATGAAAACCATTTATAAAGATTTGTATCCAATTAAAAAAAAAAAAAACTTTTCTCTACAAAGAAGAGAATGTTCGAAGATGTTGCCGCCCGCGTTGTTGGTTAAATTCAACATTCCTGATGCAATTTTGAACTCCCGAAGTAGTTTTTCATGTCCCAAGAATATCGACATCTATTATTCTGCCTCGTGCCTCCATATACCTTGAAGATATGAGCGATCAGAGTACCTTATCATTTTCCGCCCTCGTCGGTCATTGTACGGACTAATCAGAACATGATATTAAATCTCCCATTCAACTCCACTTTCGTCAATTACTGTAAGCGAGTGGGTGTGTGTTTTGGGGATTTTCTCAAAAAGCGTATTCTACTTTCCCGCCGTGAGTCTTTCGTCTTTCCCTAATTGAGTGTCTTCAGGTTCCTCCCACATGTGCACATCCTTTGTGCTTCTGGGTCGGTCATCGGTTCACATATCGGAGACAGCCTTTAACACCATTTGAGACGCGGATCTGCACTTAGCAGCTAAGAGGCAATCTTCCAGGTCAATCTGCTAAGGTGCTTGGCTTCTCTGACGTGAATAATAAACTTTACACTCAGGGTTACTGACTGTAAAGTTTATTTTCGTGTCACCTGAAGTGAACCACACAGTACACTCTCTTATGGTACTACTTTGCCTTTGCAGTACTTGTCTTTTCATCCATTTGCTTCAAGTAGGTTTCGTCCTGGGTATGACGATAAACTACATCCGGCGTCCTGGGTATGGCAATAAACTATATCCGGTGTCCTGCGTATGGCGATAAACTACATCCGGCGTCTTGGATATGGCAATAAACTACATTCGCGTCCTGGGTAAGACGATAAACTACGAACAACGGCAAGGCCTCTCATCAGGAGGTTTGAGGAGTGTGGAACCACCTCTTAATTGCTGGTGTTCCCAGGTTCACCCTGACCCTGGGTGGTAGCACCTGTTAGGGTCCCAGCTATGGGTAAATAGTTAACCCCTCTAAACTGGGGTCAAAACACTATGAATGTGTAAAAATAGGTTTTAATACCATCAATGCGTTTTTGCCAAAAAATTTACCAGCAATACATTTTTGAAGAAAAAAATGTTACCAGAAATTGATTTTGGAAGATTTTTGAAGAAAAAATGTTTACGAGAAATTGATTTTGGAAAGAAAAAATGTTACGAAAATAGATTTTTGGAAAAAAAATGTTACCAGATTAATAGATTTTGGAAGATTTTTGAAAAAAATATTACCAAAATACATTTTGAGAAATAGATTTTTGGAAGAAAAAAATAAACCAAACTTCAAATACTCCTTTCTTCTCGTTTATTCGCTGTTTTCTCCTTTATTTTTTAAAAATTTAAACCTTTCTTTAAGAAAAAAATTTATCATTCTCAATATTACCATCATCAAATAGATTTTTTGAAGAAAAAAATTTGATTACTCAAGACTTTTCTTCATTTGTGAAGAAAAACAATTATATAAATAGAAACAGAAAATTTTTGAAAGAAAAAAACACTATTAAAAAGTTTGTTTCGCTAGAAATTTCTCGATTTTTTTGTCGTTCAAGAAAAAAATAAACAAAAAACAAATTTCTTAGATTTTTGAAGAAAAAATTTCAAGTTTGACCATAAATACACGTTTTTTCCACAAGGAAACAACATTTCTTTTAAAAATATTTCTATTTTTAGGATGCGGCAATAAAAATTTTGTCTCGCCGTTAAAATGAGTTAAAGGTTGATTTTTAATCCGATATTAAAATTTTATTTTTTAAATTCCGTTTTATTTTTTTTTAAATTCGATATAAACCAAACTTCAAGTTAGTTTATTTTTTAAATTCGTTTTATTTTATTTTTTAAATTCGATCTTTTAGAATGTTTATTCCATTTCAAAATAAACGCCTGTTTTCTCAAAAATTTATTCGCTGTGTCCTAATGAGTTTTAAATTTAAAATTTAAGAACTTTCAGTTTATTTTTTGTAGATATCCCAAATCGAATAATTTGTATCATTCTCAATATTGGAAATAATTTCTATCATAAAACATTTTTTCAACTTATTCATCTGTCAATAACTTATTCCGGTATCTGTCCTTATGCATCTTTACGTCAACGTTCGTTCCGTTGTTTAAGGAAGCAATTTGATTTGTCTCAAGACTTTTCTTCATTTGTGACCGAACTAACACTCCTATATAAAATCGTAAACAGAAAATAGAATTTGTGCACTTTTTTTTTTAAGCATTATTATAGATTCTTTAACACTTAGCTTTTAAAAAGTTTGTTTTTTGAATACATATTTTCTTTGCACCAATACCCAAATCTGTCTTGTTATTTGAATTTCCAACTCACGTTGTTATCACCTTTTTTTTATCGTTCAAAGTTTTTCCCTCAAAAATAAAACAAAAAAACAAATATATATATATATATATATATATATATATAGTGCATATATGATATATAGGTATATATATGTGGTATGTATGTATATATATATATAAAGTGCAATAGTATATATAATAGTAGATATGTGTTATATATATATGTGTGTTTGTGCAAAGTGCAATATATATATATATATATATAATGAAAATATATATATATAAATATATATATAAGCGTATTGATTATTCAAACATATTAATAATAGATATTTATATATAAACATGATACTAAAATGAAATATTCAAACTGTTTGCCTCCACACTCCTCTTTTATATATATATATAAAGTGCAATGGTATATATAAAATATTTATATATGTTTATACCATATATATAAAGGAATATATATTTATTAAAAAATAAAGAATTATAATAAAAATATTAAAAAATGATTTTAGTGAATTAAATGAATCTTAGAACCATTATAATAATATGTTATATGTGTGTTTGTGCAAAGTAATACTATACTGTATAATAGATACATTTTAAAATGCCTATTCATGTATACAGAAAAAATTTTATGGATAAAAATAAAGAATTAAAGAATATTAAAAAAATGAAGGACCAAATGACCGTTTAATGTCTCGAGGAAAGATTCATGGATTTAAAAAATTATCTCGAAAAGATTGCATTTAAAAATGTTATGAACAAAAGTGCCAGTTCTGCTGGCAATTCAAGGAAAGATTACGCTTCTAAATTCAGTTTCACCTCTGAACATTATCGTCTTAATATCAATTTCCCATACGCCCCTGGTTCAAACTTTTAGTATTTGATAAGAGTGCCACTGTCCCCAATACTTGTAAACTACCCCCGACATAACGAATAAGGCGATTAGTGTTTCAAATGGAAAATAATATTTAAAGGACACGCCACTCTTAAATCTTGTAGACGGGTGATCACTTTTCGAAACTTTACAATTCAAGACTTTCAAAGATGTTGCGTGTTGGAGACTTGAATACCTCTCTCTAGCAAATTCCCAGTGAACACAACTCATAATCAACTAGGCCCTCAACACTTCATTTCACGCGACTTTCTCGCTGTTCAAAGCGTTTTCAATTTGACATTTTAATGCCGAATATAATTTAGTATTAATAACAAAAGTATGTGACCTCGTGCTTTGAAAAGTGGTCATCCATTAAGATTACGGTGCCTGACAGATGCTGCGGCAATTTGAGAGGCAGATTAAATTATTAAGCGTGTTCAAAGTAATCCGTAAGGCCAATAAGTTAATAACTCGCAGCCCAAATATTACCATCATATTGTGACGTGCATTTACGAAACATAGAAATTGGTTGATGGCGTAACCAGGTCAGCTTAAATGACAGCCCGATATGCGTAAAGAAATAAAGTAAAACTGACTATTTAGTTGTACAGGCTGAAGAGTTCCACGAGAAGAAGAGAACGTTTTTTTTTCTCAGGAATCATTTCACGCGAAATGGATACCTTTATCCTCAGGAAAATCTTTAACGCCCAAACTAACATCTGGTATAATAATAGTTAAAGTGAACACCCAATATAATAGGTTTAAAAATGCATTATTTATTATAGGTCTCTAAAAACATGCGTTATTTATTATAGGTCTCTAAAAACATGCGTTATTTATTATAGGTCTCTAAAAACATGCATTATTTATTATAGGTCTCTTAAAAAATGTGGTATTGATTATAGGTCTCTAAGAACATGCGGTGTTGATTATAGGTCTCTAAAAACATGCGGTATTGATTATAAGTCTCTTAAAAAATTCGGTATTGATTATAAGTCTCTTAAAAAATTCGGTATTGATTATAAGTCTCTTAAAAAATTCGGTATTGATTATAGGTCTCTATAAATGCAGTATTAATTTTAGGTCTCTAGAAATGGTATAGTAAAGTTTAAAAATGCTGTATTTTAGGTTTTTGATTGATTGATTTATTTGATATCTTTTACGGCTTATTGACCTTTTGTAAGTTATTTAAAACTGAAACACATTTTGGATTCTATGAATTTTTCTTTAATATTTTTGTTAATCCATATTAAATTAATATTTTTATCCCTTCAGAATAAAACTAATTTTTGCAAACAGAAATCTTACTATTTAACTCAAGACTCGAATGGGGGAGATTCATACCTTTTTTCCAATGGCATTTGCGCGTAAGTGAATGTTATGAATCCGACTGGAATTTGAACT